TATATATATATATATATATATATATGATGACAACACATCTTACATGTGACATTGAGAGGAATTTATGAATTACAATGTTTTTCTTCTCCCATATTTTGAGCTACTTTTTTTTATTTAATAGACTATGGGCATATGGTAGGTCCTTAGTAAGTTTGTCTTGATTTATTGATTGAGTGAAACATGAAATATTTCTTTACATAGATCAAAGGAAGATATATAATTGATTGGATAATAAAGAGTTATCAAGGCATTTCCAGGTGTCACTTAGCTCAGAGAAATGAACCCTGATTATATAATGCTGTCATAGTAAATTAAAGAGAATTTACCTTTAACATAATGATTTGGAACCTCTAACTTTAGGGCTTTGTGAATTTTACCTGTTTCATCCTAGTTCTTTTTCCTGAACAAATCCACCTTTTTTCTGAAATCATTTCTCTTTTAGATGAAGATGATTCGTGTTCATTACTAACAAAGGAGAGTAGCCACAATAGTAGCTTTGAGCTAATTGGCTCCACAATTCCATCCTATCAGCCTTGCAACAGACAAACAGGCCGTGGGACCAGTTTTTTCCCTACAGCAGGAGGATTCAGATCCTCTTCCCCTGGGCTGTTTCGAGCCAGTTTGGTCAGCTCAGCTTCGAAGGTAAGCTGGTGATAGTTTTTCTAATCTCCTCCTCCTTTCACTTCCCACATTGCTAAATAAAGTGTGTCCCAGCCAGCCAACTCCCACCACCTTAGTACTAAGCTTATGTGTGTTCAGCTTTAAATCCACCCCCTTCATGTATTAGCAAGCACTCTTACTTCTTAGAGGTATGTTTCCTTAGGCTTCTCATGGCTATGCATTGTCCTCCTCAACTGCAGTTGCCTCAGAGCAGATGACATACTGCAAACAGCAACTTCTGTTGTTGTCATGACACTGAATGACATTTGTAAAATGTTTTGTTATTGTTTGTTTTTGTTTTGGTGCCAGAGTTCAGGGAAACTGTCTGAGCCTTCACTTCCCATAGAGGATTCCCAGGATCTGTATAACGCCTCCCCAGAGCCTAAGACACTTTTCCTAGGAGCAGGAGACTTCCAGTTTTGTTTAGAGGATGACACTCAGAGCCAACTGTTGGATGCAGATGGGTAGGTAGTTTTGTGTTTCTGTGGGTGGGAATGGGGTTGGGTTCTGCTTAATTTTGTTTAAAAATAAAATGAGCTTCTGTCACTCCATCTGTGCTTTCTTCTGAGAAAGAAAAGGTGTACAGACCATTAGCGTTGCATTGTACAAGTTTGAAGACAAACTCTCCAGAATGTAAACTGTCAATAGCTCTTACTGACATTTTGATCCTTTGATCTTACTTGAAATTCATCAATCTTATACTGTGTGGGAATGCTCTGTGCATCCTCTGTGTTATCATTGAGTAAGATTGGAATGTAACACCTGTCCTTGTTGTTGGACGCCAGCATTTATCCTTTGTACTTTGCCTTTTGAATAGAACCATATTCAAAATACTTGCCCCACCCTTGTTAGATTAGCATGAGGCTAAAGTTTCGGTCTTGTTTGCTGACTTGAGATTCAGTGTATTAGTCACTTGTCTCATTGTGACAAAATGCCTGATCAAAAAAGGAAGGAAAGCTTTGTTTTGCCTACTGTTCCAGGGGTTGCCGTCCGTCATGGTAGGGAAGTTATGACGGCAGGAGCAGAAGGCAGCTGGGCCATTGCACCCACAGTCAGGAAGCAGAGAGCCATGGTGCTTGGGCTCAGCTTGCTTTCTCATTTTGTTCAGTCCAGGACCTCACCTCATAAGTGGTACCACCCACATTTAGGGTGGGTCTTCCCACTTCAGTTAGGCTAATCTAGATAATCCCTCACAGACAGGCCCAGAGATATATATGTTTCCATGGTAATTCTAAATCTCATCAAATTAGCATTCATGATTCACATCACATTAGCTTCTTTGTGTTTTTTCTTTTTGTAATTATTAAGAATGACATTTTGTTAATTTTGTGTGCATGTGTGCATGTAGGCATGCATGTGCCATGGCACACAAGTGGAAGTCAGAGGACAGCTTTCTGGAGTTGGTCCTTTCCACTCTGTGGATCCTGGGGATCCAACTCAGCTTGGTGGCAAGTGCCTTTACCCATTGAGGCATCTTGCTGGCCACATTCATTTTCTAAACTTTGGTGTTGGATATGAATTCAGAATTTTTCACCTGTAACTCTGCATGTCTCTGGAGAATTTCTTACAGTATTCATTGTGCTTTTAGGTTCTTAAATGTTAGAAACCACAGGAATCGATATCAAGCTTTGAAGCCTCAGTTGCCATTGGCCAGTATGGATGAAAACGCCATGGACGCCAACATGGATGAGTTGCTGGACTTGTGTACTGGAAAGTTTGCATCTCAGGCAGAAAAATGTCAACCTCAGAAGAATGACAAGAAAGATAACATGGAGGAGCTTCTAAATCTTTGCTCAGGCAGATTCACCTCTCAGGGTAAATATCCAACAAGAGTATCTGCCTTATCTCAGCCACATAGCTTCTGTTAGTGTCCTTGGAAAGAAGTTCTTTACCCTCAGAACTGAAGTTCAAAGAAAACAGGGCTGTGCTGGAATTTTGCTTATGGATTGAATTCACTGCTTAGCTCCTGACATTTACAGCGCTTACGTTCTTAAAATGGCAAAGTGTCAAATTAAGATTACTTAAGCTTTGATGATGTAATCAATCACTTATAGTTACTCTATATACAAAGCTTAGAACAGTGTCTGGTATATAGTAAATTTCATATAAATGTTGACTTTCTTTTCCGCCTGCTTCCCCAACATATGCACCTGCCAAAATGGAGGCTCTGAGATAATTGGGGTATTTGTTTTGTTTGTTACTGTCTTTCTGGTGCTTGGTACATAGTATACATAAATAAGGATTTGTTGAGTGAATTGGTGGTGAACTTTTTTGGCATGCTTACTTAAGAACTGATTTGAACTGCCATCTTTGATGGCCCAGGAGAGAATAAAGTTGTCAGTTCATTCTTTACCAATCTTTTCCTTGTTGGTGCAGATGCCTCCATGCTGGCTCCATTGGAGTTGAGTAAGCAGGAGAAAGAGAATAGCATGGGTGATCCAATGGAAGAAGCCCTTGCTCTTTGCTCAGGCTCTTTCCCAACAGACAGGTGAGTCTCAATTGACAGAAATGTGGAAAGATAAAACCCTAGGATCAGGCTCTCTGGGTTTAGAATAACTGACCTAAGGAGCTTAATATCTTGTTTGGGATACTATGGTGGATTTGAATTTTATATTTGCATAGTAATGAAATTGTAATATTTTGGTGAAAAATAAGGTACAAAACAGTAAGACTAAGCACATAAAAGATGCTTAATATCACTAACCATTTGAGAAGTGCAATTCAAAACTACAATATACTGGGGCCTGGAGAGATGGCTCTATGGTTAAGAGCACTGGCTGCTCTTGCAGAACACCCAGGCTTGATTCCCAGCACCCACATGGTGGGTAACTACCATCTGAAACTATAGTTACTAGGGATCTGATGCCCTCTTCTGGCTTCTGCAGGCATTGTACAACACAGGTACACTTACATAGAGACAAAGCACTCATACACATAAAATAAAAATAAATCAAAAAGACAAAACTTAGAAGATACTACCTCACATCCATTAGGATGACTAACATTTTATATATGTGACCAAGTATTGGGGACGGTATGGAGAAATTAGAGCCCGTATGTACTGTTGGTGAGACTGTAACACTGTATAGCTGCATGGAAAAAACTGCAGTGGTTTCTCAAAATTTAAAACAGAATTACCATCTGATCCAGTAACTCCACTTGGTTCAAAAGAAGTGAAAGTGGCAGACATGGTGGCGAAGCCTGCAGTGTCAGTGCTGGGGAGTCTGAAGCAGGAGAATCACAAATTCCAGACTAGCTTGGGCTACAGTGTGAGAGTGGGGAGGGGGAGACAGAGACAGGGACACACAGCAAGTTGTCCTCTGACTTCTGTACACATGCAGTGGTGTGTACATTTGTGGATGCACACATACACATGCATACATATAATAAATAAATGAATAAAGGCAAGAAAAGTTCAAGGCCAGTCTTAGCTACATGAAGTTCAGGGCCAGCCTTAGCTACCCATCTCAAAAATAAATAAATAGGGGCTACAGAGATGGCACCATGGTAAAGAGCACTTACTGCTCTTATAGAGAACCAGGATTCAGTTCCCAGCACCCACATCAGGCAGCTCACAACTGCCTATAACTCCAGTTCCAGGGGATCTAACGCCCTCTGGCCTCTGTAGGCACCTGCATACACCTGGTGCACATAAACTCACACAGGCACACACATATACACAAATTTTTTTAATCTTTTAAAAAATAAATACCCAGCCAGGTGTGGTGGCGCACGCCTTTAATCCCAGCACTTGGGAGGCAGAGGCAGGTGGATCTCTGTGAGTTCGAGGCCAGCCTGGTCCACATAGTTCCAAGACAGCTGGGACTACAGGGAGACCCTGTCTCAAAAAAACCAAAAAATAAAATAAATACCCAAACAGATATTTGTACAAGTGTTCAAAGTAACATTATTTGTAATAGCCAAAATGCAGAGGGAATGCAGTGGTCTGTTAAATAACATTTATGTGCATACAATGGCATAGTCAGCTTTAAAAGACAGGAAATTCTTTGTTGTTTGAGACAAGGTCTCCCTATGTAGCCCAGGTTGACCTGGAACTCACTGTGTAGTCCAAGCTAACCTCAAACTTGTGATCCATTTGCCTCAGCCTCCCAAGTGCTAGGATTATAGGTCTGGGCCATCACATTCAGCCAAACAGGAAAGAAATTGTGACATGTGCCTCAACATGAAGGATCTGTGAGGATAGTATGCTGAGAGTATTTGTCATAAAAAGGCAAAAACTATACAAATTCATTTATATATGGTATTTGGAGTAGACAATTTTTTTTGTTTTTGTTTTTGTTTTTGTTTTTTTGAGACAGGGTCTCCTTATAGTCCCAGCTGTCCTGGAACTCACTATGTAGACCAGACTGGCCTTGAACTCACAGAGATCCTCCTGCCTCTGCCTCCTGAGTGCTGGGATTAAAGGTGTATACCACTACACTTGGAGTAGACAATTTTATGGAGACTGAAAATAAAATGATGGTGCCAGGGGCTGGGGAGAGGGAAGAATACAAAGTTGTTTGGTGGGTATCGAGTTCCAATTTCACTAGATGAAGAGTTTTGGAGGTTGTTTATATGATAGTATGAATATAATTAATAACATGATATACTTAAAATGGTTATGATGGTAAATTTTATGTGTTTTACCACAATTAAAACTTTTTTCTTTTTCCATTTTTATGTGTGTATTCATGTTTGCATATGTTTGTGTACACATGTGAGTGAGTGCATGTGCACATGTGCACAGCAGGTGGAAGGCTGAGGTTGATGTCATCAGGACTCATCCTTTATCACTCTTCAACTTTTTTCTTTTTCCATTTTTATGTGTGTATTCATGTTTGCATATGTTTGGGTACACATGTGAGTGAGTGCATGTGCACATGTGCACGGCAGGTGGAAGGCCGAGGTTGATGTCATCAGGACTCATCCTTTATCACTCTTTCATCTTATTTGAAAACTAGAGCTCACTGATGCAACTACTTTTGGTAGCCAGCATGCTTTGGGAATTCCCTGTCTGCCAAAACATGTTTTAAATATTTTATTTATT